AAAAAAAAAAAAAGAGAAACAAACAACACACAACATGAGCCCTGAAGCCCAAGCTTTTCAGAGGTAGCCCTGAACCTGGACCCTAAAGCCTGATCCAAAACCTGAAGCCCAAGTCCCCTACTATAATTAGGAATAGTATCCCCATATCGTCCCATATGACCATAGCAGAAGATACTTGTTTAGGGTTTAGGGTTTAGGGTTTGAGGCCCCTACATTGGAACCCTAAGCTGGAAGCAGCACAGGAACGCCAGGAGGCGATCACCTTGCTGCATATCGGGTATAAAGAGGCCCGCGACGGCCACCAGGACCGACCAAGAACCCTGGTCTCTGGAGGTCCCGTTTATGGGTTCCTCGAAGGCTTCCTTTAGGGGATCCTTCAAGGGTTTAGGTTGTTTGGGGGAAGGGTCTACAGGGTTGGGGTCAGTGGTTGGAGGGTCTTAGAAGGTCGTTGAAATCTGTTTGGGACAGGGTTTTATACACCTTCAAAGAGCGGCAGACCGGAGCATAACGCATGTAAAACCTGCCACTTTGAAATATCTTGAATGCCGTTTGGGAATTCAGAAAGCTATATAACATCAGAAATGCAAAGCCTACTGTGGGTTGGTTTGTTTTCGTAACCTCGTGACCTGGACGACAAAGGGATGTAGGAGCAGTTGACGTTGCGTGTTTACAGCTTTCAAGGCTGCTGGTTTATGTCACAGGGGGTCCAGTCTTGGTCTTGGGTTCGGCTGAGGTTGAGAGTTTTGAGGCCGAAAACCAAGACCAGCAATCCCAAACGCTCCTCGCAGAATGCTTGGATCAACATGGGCGTGGTGGCTGCACTGGTTTTCAGTGCCACTCAGCGGCACCTAAGCCTTGAATCAGTGCCTCATCGAATGTTTTCTTAATGACGTGCTAGTATTTGTAAGGAATATGCTCAACATGCTTCTTGTTATTTTATATTACGATATTCAGTTATGTTATGCTACAATATGATATACTGTACTATACTGTACTTTCATATCGTATTGTAGTATGTTACATTGCAATATTTCATAGCATGGTATTCGTACTTGTATCATATCATATCACATCATACGGTATAGTACTTACCATGGTAGACTAGATTATGTTAGATCGTGTTATGTTGTATTATGTTATATGTTGTTGCAGTATGTCTTGGTTTTCCATCATTTTACATTTCCCAGGTTTTCATCATATCATCCTATACTGTCTTGTACTATATAATTTAGCATCATCATCATCATCATCATCGTATGTTGTTCTTTGTGCTGGACGGAGTAACTGCCTTCAGATAGAATAGTACAGCACCACACAGTAAAACAAGATACATATGTATATACATACACATATATATATATATACATATATACATATATATATATATATATATTGAGATATGTTTTCTGGTAATGTACCATACAACCTCATATCTAACATCTAATACCTACACGGTGATTCGGGACATTGCCTAAACAGTATAAACCTTAGGCCCACATTTGCCACCCTCAACTTTATGGGCTCATCGGTCTTTGATCTGGCATATTGATGTAGCAGGCTTTGGGCTGGGAGCTTCATGCGAAGTACCGGTCGGACGTTGCTTTGTTTTTATTACCTATGCCAAGTTTTGTGTGTCTTACAGTGCTTCATCCGAAAGAGAATAACCCTACGGTACTGGGCATGCTTTCTATAATGTACTATAACATACGATACTAAAACGTAGCACAATTACGAAAAACATAACAGTATATAATAATATACTATACTCTAATACAAAACGAGAAGCTTGTTATGATATAGTATGATATTGTTTAACAGAATGTAATTTACTTCAATATAACATATTATGGCACGACATGCTTGGTATGATGTGATACAAATATTATGATTTGTCTTCATTTTTCAACACAATTTAAGCTTCAATAATGATGTAATGAAGTCTATGGTGATACAATGTTTGTTGTTGTATAGTGTAATGTAATGTTATATAGTCGTACATTGTATTGAACTTCGTTACAATGTATCATAGTAAGTTATTTTTCGTCTTATAATTTGAGGTTTGTGTTTCATTTTACGATCGTATAGGATATCGTATGGTTTTCGCGACAAGCTTGGACATGATACGGTATTTTGAAGACATCGCGTTGTCTTATGTTTTTCGATGTATTGTGTTCTATTCTAGAAGTTGCATTCTATTAGGTTATATCATATTGACTACATTGGGTTTTTTAAACACATAGTTTGCTGTATGCTCTACCATAGTATGTTTGAATACGTTGAATGTGTTTACATTATACCATGGTCTTGTTATTCTGACATAGTCTTATGTTTGTTTGTTTATGTTACAAATATGTCTGTTGCATTCTAAGATTCTAGACAACATCACAATGCATTGTGTCGTGGTATGTTTCATTTTTTCCCTTGAGTTTTTTCTAACATGTTACTTGGAGGTTCATGGGTAGTTGTAAATGGGGCTATAGGTAGGGTAACTATACTTATAACCATAGAACCTTGATCATAGTTACGCCTCAGCTTTTGGAAAAAGCTTTGCTCCTCTGCCGAAAGGAAAGGCCCGCTTCGGAAAGCAGCTTTAGGGTTTAGGGCTTAGGGTTGAAGCAGCAAGCAAGTTTTTGAAGCGCCTCGAAATATTTTTTTCTTTAAAAGTGGTCTCGTTTCCCCATGCGAAGTCCTGCCGCAATTGAAAGTAGACCCAAGCCCGGCCGAAATAGTTTTCTTTACATCTGGGGCCTTTTTTTATTCCCATCCTCGGATTGGTCGTGGTGGCAAAATTACATCTCAGACTCTGCTTGATTGTATCATAGCAAACCAATATACACTATCACATGTCACCACGTACTGTATTGCGTCATTGCACTACGTTGCAGCTGTTGTGACATCAGAAGAAATGCTTTGTCATGTTTCATTACGATATGATCTGACATGATTTGATCTGACTGAGAGGTCGTGATATTATTTGTTTTGATATGACATGAGCTTTTGTTTCACAAGGATTCGTTTTGTGCATTTTATCAGGTGCTCTTCTCCGCCATTAACCAGCCATTTGGCATGATCACGGCAGACGACATGTGGAGCAGCCATCGGGAGACGATGAATAAGGAGGGGGTTGGGGGAGGGAGAGGGGTTTAAGGGTTTAAGAGTTTAAGGGTTTTAAGGTTTTGGGTTTAAGGGTTCAAGGATTTAAGGGTTTAGGGTGTAAGGGTTTAAGGGTTTAAGGCTTTAAGGTTTTGGGTTTCGGGCTTGGGGTTCCTGGTCGTCTTTGCAAGGATGGCCCTAAGCCTTAATACCTAGCTTTCTCAGCCCTAAACTCCCTCCACCCTAACCCTAAACCCTAAACCCTAAACCCTAAACCCTAAACCCTAAACCCTAAACCCTAAAAAGTCCTAAACCCGAAATTTTGTTGCTGAGGGTTCAGGGTGTTGGGTCTCGGCTCAGAGGTCATGAATCTAGGCTTCGGGCTTGCACAGGGGGATTTTGTGAAATATAGGAGTCGGGTTTAGGGTTTAGGGTTTAGGGTTTAGGGTTTAGAGTCGGCATAACTATCAACATTCTTCCTCTTTCTTCTGCTTATGGCAAAACATGCACCCCCAAAGCCCAATTCCAATCATTAAGGCTCTTCGTGTAGCCTTCTGCCCGGTTTTGTGCATGAGGAATGGTATTGGGGTCGGGGAGCCGCGGCGTACAGGGGCTTACTCGGCTCTTGTTCAGGATTTTAACTTACGTTATCAAAATAGAGATCTATGATAAATAACAGGGTTTCTTTATTCTGGGATTCACAAGAGCCCGGCTTAGTTCTCGAGGTTTGAGGGCCAGTTTTGCACCGGAAATCGGAACGATCCACTGCTTCAGTTTTGCCTTCAGACCCAAAACCGGCTTGGGGCCTTAGCCCATCACTGTGGTTTGCGGTGGACAGGTCCTGATTTGCTTGCTGTATATCAGCACGCCCCTGGGTCGTGGACGATTCCAGTGTTGTGGAGTTGCAGGGAAATAAGTCGTTTAGTTCAGGGTGTGGTGTTTCCTTTTGCAGAACTCCACTTATGTGAATCCCCCGAATAAGGAGCCCCTTTGTTGAAGCATCCACCTTTGAGTGCTTGGGCTTGACCAGTTTCGACGCAATCACGGCTAGGAGACGGAAGGAATGAGCCAAGAACGGGGCAGAGCTTAGCATCAGCAGGACAAGAAGTAGGACGAACTGAGGAGGAAGAGGAAGGGCAGTTGTATTGGTAGTGGTGCTCCAGCGGTAGTGGTAATCATCGTCAATCGCCTGTGCCTGCGTTTATTGTATACTAAACCCTGAACCCAAAACCCCCCAAAAGCCTCATTCTAGTCATGGAGGCCTCTCTGTTACCCCAAACCCTAAACCCTAAACTGTCCAAAGCATCTCAGGATCTTTGGGTTGGTCACCGTTATCCTCACGATTTTCCTCCTGATTCACATGGGGCCCCTTGGTCCCAAAAGCTTCAGGCTTTTAGTGGTTTAGGGTTGAGCGTTTGGTGGTTCAGGGTTTAGGGTTTAGGGGTTTAGGCGTTGGGGGTTTAGGGTTGAAGGGTTTTTTGATGACTGGAATAGGGTTTTGGCTTTGGGGTATATTGTACTATGAGGCATGAAGCTCAAGCCCTAAAACCTTAACCCGAATCCCTAACCCTCACAACCCCCCGAACCCTGGTCCCGGAACTTAGTATAGGGGCCGTAGTAATTCCTAGATTTTTCTGGCGGTTCCTTCTTATAAATATAATATAATCTACCCCAAAACCCTA